AGAGAAGAAAGACGATGGAACACGCAAGGTGACAACAAGATCAATCTTTAATATGATCAACTATGCCGTATTCTTGGCCCTTATAAGTTTTGGTAGGTAATTAACTCAAGTAATATATTAAAACTTTTTAAAAATGAAATCACTTATTCAGTTCTTGCTGATATTTTTAGCACTTTCTACTCTGGTTCAGGAAAATTTGCGAAAAAAAAGGTTAATACCTAGCGTGTCTCAAAAATTTGTCATCAATTTTAACAAACAGCTATATTCGTTTTCTGGATTTCTAGAGGAAAACTTGCCACTATTAAGCTACGGCACATCTTTCTGAACACATTTCTTGAGGAAAAGTAAAGCTATAAAATAGCACATTCTTAATTCCCAATTTATTTCGGTCTTCGCTTCACGTAAGCGTTTTGCGTCTCACTTTCGAAACATGATCACAAAAGGAATAAGAAGATCTTGCTTTAAGAAAAACTAAGTAAAAATAGAAAATTTCCCTTGAATACATCAACGCTTGTAATGTTCAAGGACAGCGTTTAACGTTTTAAAACATCACAATTTCTGCCGATACAAAAGTTGCAAAAGGAAGGAGTTCAAACGACAGAAATTGAGGGTATCATGTGAGATAGATCAAAGCTCCATATATCATTAAATTCATTAGAAAAAGACTTAGCTACCGCTAAGGGCATTCTCTTATTCTCTTTGACACGCTCATTTAGGAGAAAAATCTCTTGTAAGGGTTCAATAAGGCTGCAAACAATGTTATACACAACGCTTTCAGCTACTGGAAATCAGAAATAAAAATAACCATTTCAATCAAAGAAAAATAATGTTAGAGTTCTCCAATTTTAGTATAACGAAACAGCATCTAATTTATTTCTAGGCGAATTCTAGATTATACTGGATTACTGCAGTTAGCGATAAAGAAACAGACTATGACTCGACCTTGCGACGTATAATTTTTATATAAAAGTCAATATAAAATTCTCTGAAATAGAGAAACTAACTCTTCCAACTTTTCTTAGTGAATATTTCTATCACAACACATTTCACGAGATAGCGTAACGAATTTTAAAAAACTGTGCTACATTCATGAATGTCCGTCATGTTTGATTAAATCTTCTCCTTTCTTACAATTAAAGGGAACGTAGTCGTCATAGTAAACATTTTATGAACAACTGTCGTGGAGTAACAATGTAGTGAATATTTTAGTGGCTTTGGCCGAATGTTCGGTGCAGAAGTATTTTTTCACAAAGATCATTGGTGATCTTTTCGTCAACTCAAAAACAACCGTGCAGGACAAATCATTTGTGGAGATAAGCGCCATAGACGACATTTGGGATGTAAACTATTTTTACAAGATTCCACTACTTGGAGTAAATATAAATCGTATTTGTAAACCATTATAGTTCTTGGATGATGAATTTCTGACTAGTCTCTATCAAACGGATGCACCTACAACGGATCAAAACGCTATGGTGTACTATAACAACAAGCTGCTTGGTAGTCCTCGTATTCGCATGCTTAAGGTAAATGAAATGTGGGTATTTTATCTAGTATATAGAAGAAATTTCAAGGTCAAAAACACTTCCTGTACTGTAGCGAAAAGTTTCTCTCGTGAGATTATTGAGTGCTTCAGCAACTATAATCCTGCCGTTGAAGACAAGCAACGATTTGGTCCAGCAAATTCAGAGCCGTGAGTGAACCCTGTGCAAGCTTCTTTCAAACATTATCCGCCGTAAGACAGCACACAGCGAACAAATCCTAGACTTATGCACACCAGATTTTTAGAGAGAGAAAAAGTTATAATCAATAGCACATTTACGATAAACTGGCAACCGGCGGGCCATATTTTGAATAACATAAGATTCGTCATTAACTTCCACGAAATTATGAAGTCTAGTTGGAGACATGCAGGCAGTGCTGTAAACAACGTAAATCACAACTGCAGTCTCACACTGAGTCACATTAGCTGCCTGTAGGCAAGCGAAGATCTTACATTTTGTTGTATTGTCAAGAATGGCAGATCTGATGGAAACATTGCATGCATACACTTCCGGATATGGCGCAGGATCAATAATTCGATTTGATCATTCGTTGCTCTTTGGCATAGACTTAGTAGCGTATTTCATAACGTTGACTACAAATCTGATATTCTTCTAAAGTGTATCGATTGATTCCATAAAACTACTGTTATCTGAATCGCTAACAGAACACCCTTTAACGAATTCGTAATGTAATTTGATTCCATCCTATACCTATTCAACTCCACAGCACAGTCATAGCGTACAGTGGATATGATTTTCATGAGCAGCATATCAAATAAGCCCTCCACCCCACCTCTTTAGACCTCTCTCTAAACGAACTTGTACATTTTATCGCTTACTGTATCTCTACTGTAACTCCACAGTACGAACATAGTTCACGGATTACTATTTTCGTGAGCATATCAGATATACTTAGAGCGCCAAAATTAAAGAAGCGTTGTCGTCAATGTACCAAGGCGTTTATACATTTTGCTGTCCTATCAACAAGTGGGTTTTCTTCATCAAGACAGAGGCCTTTTGTCATTGATATCGTGCCATCTAAAAGGAAAGGAATGAGCTTCAGGGAATTGAAATCAAGCTGTGCGAGAAGCGATGAGGTTCTTTAACCATTATCTACCATTTTTCTTTCTATTTATTCCATAAACTTTGCATGACAAGTAGAATTGTAGGGATTCAACAAGCAAAACATCCATTCCACTCTATCACATTTTTACGAATGATTTGCAAACACTGCACAAAAGCATATTCTTGAAGGATTCCCATTTGCCAATAGCTGCGAAAAAACA